TAGTAGTAGTAGTAGGAGTAGGAGTAGGAGTAGGAGTAGGAGTAGGAGTAGTAGGAGTAGGAGTAGGAGTAGGAGTAGGAGTAGGAGTAGGAGTAGGAGTAGGAGTGGGAGTAGGAGTAGGAGTAGGAGTAGGAGTAGGAGTAGGAATAGGAGTAGGAGGAGTAGGAGGAGTAGGAGGAGTAGGAGGAGTAGGAGGAGTAGTAAGTAGGAGTAGGAGTAGGAGTAGGAGTAGGAGTAGGAGTAGGAGTAGGAGTAGGAGTAGGAGTCGGAGTAGGAGTAGGAGTAGGAGTAGGAGTAGGAGTAGGAGTAGGAGCAGGAGCAGGAGCAGGAGCAGGAGCAGGAGCAGGAGCAGGAGCAGGAGCGTGGGAGTAGGAGTAGGAGTAGGAGTAGGAGTAGGAGTAGGAGTAGCAGCAGCAGCAGTAGTAGTGGCAGCAGTTAGTAGTGGCAGCAGTTAGTAGTTAGTAGTTAGTAGTTAGTAGTTAGTAGTTAGTAGTTAGTAGTTAGGAGTTAGGAGTTAGTAGTTGGTAGTTAGTAGTTAGTAATTAGTATTTAGTAGTTAGTAGTTAGTAGTTAGTAGTTAGTAGTTAGTAGTTAGTCGTGAGTCGTGAGTCGTTGGTCGTTAGTCGTTCGTCGTTCGTCGTTGGTAGTTAGTAGTTAGTAGTTAGTAGTTAGTAGTTAGTATTTAGTAGTTAGTAGTTAGTAGTTAGTAGCTAGTAGTTAGTAGTTAGTAGTTAGTAGTTAGCAGTTAGCAGTTAGCAGTTAGCAGTAGCAGGTGGCAGGTAGCAGGTAGCAGGTAGCAGGTAGCAGGTAGCAGGTAGCAGTTAGTAGTTAGTAGTGAGTAGTTAGCGGTTAGTGGTTAGTGGTTAGTGGTTAGTGGTGAGTGGTTAGTGGTGAGTGGTCAGTGGTCAGTAGTAGTAGTAGTAGTAGTAGTAGTAGTAGTAGTAGTAGTAGTAGTAGTACTGGTAGCAGTAGCAGTAGTAGCAGTAGTAGTAGTAGTAGTAGTAGGAGTAGTAGTAGTAGTAGTAGTAGTAGTAGTAGTAGTAGTAGTAGTAGTAGTAGTAGTAGTAGTAGTAGTAGTAATAGTACTGGTAGCAGTAGCAGTAGTAGTAGTAGTAGTAGCAGCAGTAGAAGTAGTAGCATTGCATTGCACACGTCTCACCGTCGCTCCGATGATTGACGAAAGGCAGGCATAGCCCGGCAGCTCAGTGGCTGCATCCCACTATTGGGGATCCTTATAGGCAACAGCTACGCTTCTCCACGATGAGAGTCACCACATGTAACGAACAAAATGCATCAAGCAAGCAGACTGTCCGGAATATTGTCACAGCCATTGAACCGTCGTTTGTCCATCGCAGAATCATATACCTCGCTGGTATTTGCATGGCCGGCAGACGATGACGCATTGCGTCCTCCGACCGCCTCCTGATCTACTGCACCAAGCTCATCTGATGCACTGATGAAGAATCCACCAGGATAGGCTGTACCTCCTCTGGCTCCACTCCCGGAACAGCTGGATCATCTCCCGCTGCGCCACCCACTGTAGTCTGGCCCTGCGTGACCACAGTAGATGACACATCCTGGGAAGACGCTGCCGCTCCGGTGCCCACAGCGAAGCTCCCCGGCGCACTCACCATGCATGCCTCGGCTTCCCTGCAGGGGTGTGGTCACCATCGCAGTTGCCATACGGGCTGTCATGAGGCCTTGTCGTCTTGAACAGCCCCTCGTACGTTGCCCTCCCCTGCTATGCCAGCAAGAAGAGCAGCACGTTGTGTGGCCTTCCTGTACCGACAATACACAGTTCGGCGTGCGGCATTCACTGATCATGCCCAGCTCCATGTCCGTGGTGAGCAGGCCGCAGCGCGGGCTTGTCTCGCACGAACCCCACAGTGCAGCCAGCTCCGGTGCCAATTCGCGAACGCAGCAGGAGCACACGATGCACAGAGCATCTTTCTTTTCGCCCAACGGCGATGCAAAAGTCTAGCTCGCGGGGCCCAACTCGAGACGTCACAGAACAAAACTCTCACATAGTCCTCAGAATCGCAGCCCGAGCACAGATCAGATCAGGCTACATACAAAGGAAGACGGAATCTGCGAAGCCGATCCGATACCCAAAGTTGCCTACTTTGCTTGCATCCAAAGCCCCCCGGCGTTGGGAGACAGCTTGTTGTTGCCATGTCGTGCCCGCCTGAGCTGCAGTGCGTGCAGCCATCTGTACGGTTCAACCCAGCTCCACGAGTCAGCTTCTTGCGAGAAATCCCGTAGGTTTCCCTAATCCCAACACCCTAGGGCTTGAGCTAGGCTACCCCTGTGTGTTTTGCTTGTACAGTTTTCACGCTTTACCACTGCGCACCGCGGCCCTTTTGGGTCTCGAGAAAAGGCGTGCCTGCTTTGAGCCCGGTAAGCAGCCGTAGGTAGAGACCCGGCCGATTTTAGGCATCGCACGGTAGCGGAGCTCTGCTGAATGCCAGTGGGCCAGCAACTCCGGACAGCGGGCAGCCCCGCGGGTTTTCTCTCCGAAGGGAGCCCGTAGGACTGCGCGGGTCGCCCCGCCCGAAAGGGGGACATTCAGAGGTCACCGCGGGACCTGAAAACTGGAACCTGAGCGCTGCTGGAGGCTTAGCGCGGATATAGTCCCGCCAAGGGCGAGGACTTCCCTCCTTCCGGCACCCGGGCCGAGAAACCGGGGAAGGGAGCCGCGGCTGTTTGCGCGGCGCCCTCTACCTTTTCGGTTTTACCCGCCGGCGCGGGTGGAACCGCCCCTTGTTCGTCGCAACGTCCGGTTGGGGACGCCACGACAAGGGTTGGAATCGAGACCACTGGTCTCGTCGGAACTGGTGGGACGAACCCACCGGCCGAACAAAGCCAGCACTGGGACTGGCAGGAAGAAGCCTGGAGCAAGACCAGGCAGCTTGGTGGCAAGACCAAGCAGAGGCAACTCCGGACGACGATCCGTGGCGGGATTGGAACGGAGTCGAGGACTGGTACCGCAAGCAGGCAGCCAGCAGTAGCGGAGGGGACCGCCAGACCGAAAGGTCCAGGAGCCCCGCTGAAGCGGCACGTGGCAGCCGCGATCCACCGCCCACCAAAGACAAGGGCAAACCCTGGTGGGAGCGCAAGGTGGAATACATCCAGAAAGACGGGGCGTGGAAGAAGAAAAACACCCGAGGAGTGCGCTCCCTAGCCAATGCAGGAGCGCATAGAGAGGGGCCAGAACCGCCGCAGAGAGAAGCCTGTACGGGGAGCGGGCACCGTCAGCCAACGAAGGATCCCTCATCCTAGGACTCCGAGCCCCTCAACTAAGGGGGGCCTGGACACTGCGCCGCCGCAGCCAGTTGTGCTGAGGGAGGTCGAGGCGACGAGTGGTCCGACAGCGAGGCCAGCTGCAGCTACACCTACAGCAGCGAGGATAGTCCGGGACGTCCTCTGCACCCAGCCTTTGTGCACCGCCAAGCCGAGCGCATACGCGCGGTTCGGCTAGAGTCCTCCGAGAGCGAAGGCAAGCCCGAAGGACCTTTCGCGCCCAAGCGCTTTGGGGAGAGAGCCCACGCCGAGACCCGAGGCTGCATCGCAACAAGGGCGTGCGGAAAGGCCGGCAGCCCCGGCAGCACCACAAGCAAGAGGCCACCCCGCCCGAGAAGGCGGTAACAAGAGCCGCAAGAAGCGGCCAAGCCGGAGCCAGCCGACGAGCCCCAGGCCGCGCCCAGGGCTACCACCTGGAACAGAAGGGTGAACCTACGCCCGACTTCGGTGGCGGCAGCGAGGACGAGCAACAGCCGACCGCGCCTGCCGCAGAAGAACCCAGGCAGTGGGTCTTCGTGAGGGACCTGCTCGAAGAAGAGCAGGCCAACACAGCGGGCAGCCCCGCGGAAGGAGCCACCGCCACACCCGCATCTTCCACGGGAGCGGGCCGACGGGCCGAGGAAGCGGGCAGCGCTTGCCAGTCGCTTGCGGCCTCTACTGTAGAAACCTCCGCGAGCCGGAGGAGGAGAGCAGCGTGCAGGTGCCGAAGAAGGGAGCCGAGTGTGGGAACTTGGTTCTGGACACCGTGGAGCAGTACTTGAATACCTTGGGTCATTCGCGGGTAACCCTGCAGATTGACGCAGAAGGGTCTCTCAAGGTGCGGGAGGCACCGCCCTACTCCCACCAGAGCCAAGGCGCGGTGGAAGGGGAGCACAGCTGCCTTGCGGGGCTCACCTGGCTTATGGACCTTCAGAACCGGTCCCAACTGCATGGTGGCACGGTGTTCCCTTGCGGCTGGTCAAGTACGCGGCGTGGTCCGCGGCGAGGTTTCAGGTCCGAACCACGGACAAGATGACGGCCTACAAGATCGTTAATGGGGTCGCTTCGGTGAAACCGTGATGGCCAAGCTCCCAAAACCAGGAACCAAGTCGCAGCGACGTTGGGTTCGAGGCATCTGGGTGCATGGGCAAGCTGGACAGAGACAATACGCACATTGTCCTGACCGAGAGTGGCGCCCTCTCCGTGCGATCGGTGAGGCGCCTTCCCCCACGCCAACAGGACCCTGATGGGCACCGTCGCTGGCGTGCCCTGGGCCCTGCACCAGGTGGCACAACCTGTGGTACTCCCAGCCCCCTCTCTGGAAGCGGCGGCCGCCGAGACACCAGACGACTACAGAGAGCAAGAGGGCGAGCCACAGCTTCCCACCATGCCGCACGAAGGGAGCCAGCGCGTAGACACTCAGCGAGGTTTTCCCCCAAGGCAGGGGAATTGGCGACACAGCCCCGGAACACGCCGAGCGAACGGAAACACCCGAAATTCCCGCTGGAGCCTCGATATCCGTTGGTGCGGGTTCCGCCGCCAGTGCGGCAGCAACCCCCTCGGTGAAGGGGGGCTGGGGCAAGGAAGCACCAAGAGAAAAGGCACCGGAAGCACCGAAGGCCCTCCAAGAGCGCCGCGAGGAAGGCCCAAAGAATCGACCGCCTCCAGGCGGAAGCCCAGACACTTAAGCAGAGGGTTGACAGCAACGCCTAGCCTCCGTGATGGAGTTGCTCGACTCATGTCCGGACCCTGCCGCAGTGCAGGAGGCCAGGCTGGCCCAGCTTCAGAAGCTGTGGCGATTGCACACCTTCACACCGGTACACAGACGCCAGAAGCTTGCTGACGCGCAGGTGTTCCACTACAAGTGGGTCGACAAGGTGAAGGAGGGCACGGTGAAGTCGCGATTCACCTGTGCTGACGTTAAGCGAGCCTACACGGAAGAACAGGAGCAGGACCTGCGAGTCTTTGTTCCGACTCCGACTCCTGAGGCGCACGCCCTGCTGGAGATCACGGCGTTGCAGAAAGGTTGCGCCACGCGCTCCTTCGACATCGTCGCGGCTTTTCTCATAGGGCAAGACCGTGGAGCGCAACAGGAGAAGTGGGTCTACGTGCGACCCCCTCCAGAATGGAGGCCCATCTGGAAGGAATGGGTGCGAGCACAGCCGCCAGAGCAGCAGCCCAACCTCTGGGAGAGTTTCGACCAGATGCTCTTCAGACTAGATGGCAACCTCTATGGGAGGAGGACCGCAGGCTCGGTTTACCGAGACGAGCTGGAAGAGCTTCTCTGCGTCAAGCTCAAGGAGACGGGACGCTACGACTTTAGGCGTGGGGTCAAAGACCCGTGCGTCTACAGACGCCTCAAGACAGGCATTGTCATAGTGCACCATATCGATGATGGGAGGTGTGCGGGCGACGCCGCCGCCCTAGATAGGTTGCTTGACGAGGATCTCTGTGCCCACTGTGAAATCACCACCGGACCCCTTGAGGCCGAAGGTGTTTCAGTCGAGGTTGTAGGTAAGACCAAGACCCGACTACCTGGGTGTATCCTCACAGCTCCGGACCCGAAGCACGCGGAGAACATCATCAAGGCCTTGGGCCTGAAGCCAGGTGAGAAGTCGCCGGTACCCTCCAGAAAACCCGACCTGAGTGACACCACTCCCCTGGAAGCGGGAGACGCCGCCAGGTACCGATTAGCAGTGGGCTCGGGGATTTATCTCTCGGCCCACCGCCGGGATATCCACTACGCGGTCAAAGAGCTCGCTCGCCACATGTCTGCGCCAAGGCGCTGTGACATGAACCAGGCCCAGATGCTTGGCAGGTACCTGAAGCAGAACCCTTCCTTGGTGAGGGTGACAGCCCTTGATCCCGGAGCCCACGACGGGACGCTCCAGCTGTCTTTTGTGACAGCGATTGGGCAGGCTGCGCTCGGTGGGGCGGTCGTGACCACAGCGACCCAGACCCAGCCGGGACTGCCGGCGACAAGCAGCCCAGACGCCGAGCTCCGCGGTATAAGCCGCGCCTGCCGGGAGGCCCTTTTCGTCCACGAACTGGCGACTCTGGACTTTGGACTCGAGGTCGAAATCCCGAGAATCTGGAGTGACAGCAGCACCGGGATCACGGCAGCCAAGCGGATCGGCCCAGGCACAAAGCTGAGACACCTTGATGTGTCAGAATTCTATGTGCAAGGGGCCGTTCAGGCCGGAAAGGCCTTGCTAAGAAAAGTGAAAGGCACAGAGAACCCGGCGAACTTCCTCACGAAGCACGCCAAGACAGGCAACGAGGTTGCGCAGGCTTTGCCATCCCTTGCCATGGTGGACCCCACCTTGGTTGCGGGAGCCTCCGCTGCGGAACGGCACTCGGTGAAGCTTGTGCGGGAAAACCCGCCTAGTCAGTGGAAGCCGGTTCTCCCTTTCACGCCGACGATAGCCATCGTCAACGCCATTTTGGCAGACCAAAGAGTGAGGGCACAGCCACGTGAAGAGGAGATCATCCAATGGGCCGTGCAGGCGACCATGCTGCTGGGTATCCTTACCTGGTTGGATATCCTGTGGTTTGTGGTAAGAACGGTGACCGGGTGGTGCAGCCGAGCGCTGCGACAGCTGAGGCAGCCGACAGGCCGGCAGCCAGAAGAGGAGCCCTCGGAACCCACGGAGGAACCCGAGGAGGAGCTGCCAGAAGAACCCGGGGGCGAAGAAGTCCCGGATGAGGTGGCCGCGCCACCAGTAGCAGTCGAAGAATGTCGAAGACCTCTTCCGCGCTCCGGCGCGGGCGGCTCCGCCTAGAGACCCACGACCCCCGGCTCCTGAACCAGAGCCTCACGTCGGGGATGCGGGAGCAGCCGCCGATGCGGCAGCCCCGCCACCACCAGTGGCACCCCAGAACATCAACAACGGGGTGGTGCGGGCAAGGCGCCGCCGAATCCAACCTGGAACGCGCCTTCCGCCTGTGCCGCAGCACAACTTTGGGGAACTGTACTATGCCCGACCAGGCGCACGGTTCATCTCTACAGGAACTGCGTCGGTCTGGCATCGGTGCCCCAAGACAGGATCATCACCGAACATCTTTGTTTCACCTGTTGGGGTGGAATGATCATTGGCCACAGGTGGGAGGACCCAACTCACTTTCTTGTGGTCGGGGAAGACTACACGCCTCACGTATTTCCGCATTGTACGGGGATACGCGGGTGGGCCCGGCAGCTTCCATGTCTGCAACCACTGCAGAAGCCATCACTTCGTGTGTGACGGCTAGTCAGTGCGGGAAGGGACCGCCCGAGCGGGGATTACCGCCAAGCCCTCGGCATTGGAGGGGGGTGCGAGAAATCCCGTAGGTTTCCCTAATCCCAACACCCTAGGGCTTGAGCTAGGCTGCCCCTCTGTGTTTTGCTTGTACAGTTTGCACGCTTTACCTCTACGCACCGCAGCCCTCTTGGGTCTCGAGAAAAGGCGTGCCTGCTTTGAGCCCGGTAGGCAGCCGTAGGTAGAGACCCGGCCGATTTAGGCATCGCACTTCTTCTGTTTCTTGGTTCAGTCTTCATGGTCTCACTTGTGTGGAGCATAGCAAGAATGACCACAGCACATAGCAAACGAGCAGCACAAGCTCCGAAACAACAGCGACCAGCAGCATAGAGAATGCTCAGCCTCTGTCTTCTAGGTTTGTCTTTAAGGACTCGAAATCCAAACCCTCAGAGGAAGTTCGTGAATACTATTGATTGCGAACATCAAAACCACCAAAAACAGCGCACAAAAGATATGCTCGCATAGGCTTCGTGAATTTCCTGGCCGCCTAAGAGAGAACTGATGCAACAACCGCAAAACGCAGAAAAACAAACAACGATGCCCGCCTCGCCCTCCATCTTCAATATTGAAAGCGGGGTATTACATATCTGTCGCTGCGCAGATGTCACCTGTGTGTTTGTATATATATATATATATATATATATATGTATGTATGTATGTATATATATATATATATGTGGGTGTATGTATGTATATATGTATATATACCTATATATCTATATATCTATATATCTACATATCTACATATCTATATATCTATATATCTATATATCTATATATCTAGATATCTATATATCTATATATCTATATATCTATATATCTGTATATCTGTATATCTATATATCTATATATCTATATATCTATATATCTATATATCTATATATCTATATATACCTATATATATATAACTATACATCTATACATCTATACATCTGTACATCTATACATCTGAACATCTAAACATCTATAGATCTCTAGATCTCTATATCTCTATATCTCTATATCTATATATCTATATATCTATATATCTATATATCTATATATCTATATATCCATATATCTGTATATCTGTATATCTATATATCTATATATCTATATATCTATATATCTATATATCTATTCATCTATATATCTATATATCTATATACCTATATACCTATATATCTGTATATCTATATATCTATATATATATATATCTATATATATATATATATCTATATATATATGTATATATATATATATGTATGTCTATATATCTATATACCTATATATCTATATATCTATATATCTATATATCTGTATATCTATATATCTGTATATCTGTATATCTATATATCTATGTAACTATCTATCTATATATCTATATATCTGCATGCTATATTTATATATGCGCATGTGTCTTTGTGCATATGTGCATTTTTGTACATGTGCATACGTATATGTGCAGATGTGTAACATGCATATAAGATCCCCCTTGCTCGCCTCGCAGCCGGCCCGCCGGCTATGCAATACATTTACAGCCGTGAGATCACCGTATAAGTGTATATGTATAGTTAAATTTGTAAACGTATACATGTGTGCATATGCAAGTGCGCATGTATATGTGTGCAAAATGTATCACGTATATAAAAAATTTCAGTGGAATAGAACACAATAGAGTGATTAGAACGGAGTATAACCGAATATGACAAAGTACTCTAGCCTGGAATAAACTGAAACAGACAAACTATTTCAGAGGAGGGCAGAGTAAAACAAAGTAGAATAGAGCAGAACGCAGCAGAATCTTGAGTAGACTCGTCATGAACAGAAAAGAGGACAGTTGGCATAGAATACTCTGTATTATCGTAGGGTAAGGGATTGATAATAAGCGATATTATATACAATATGTTAAAACATAGCAAAAAAGAACAGAGTAGAATAGAACAGAATAGAACCGAAAAGACCGAATAAAATGGAATAGGATAAATTACGTGCAAATGCAAAAGATGTGCGTTTGTTTGCCGCTTACAGTACACGGACGACACATTCGTATATGGTCGCTGTCATGTGAGTGAGAGACAGTGAGAGTACACGGGCGACACATTCGTATATGGTCGCTGTGAGTGAGTGAGACAGAGAGAGAGAGAGAGAGAAAAAACAAAAAAGAGAAAAGATAGAGAGAGAGAGAGAGAGATAATGTGTGTGCGCGTGTCCACATGCGCTGACATGACATTCATAGATATTATCGCTACACTAACCCCACATGAGCTTGAACTTCAAGCTAGCCCGGGTTGCTTAACTCGACTCAAGAACGGCGGAATATGCAACCAGAGAAGTGTCAACCCTCAGAAAGGCTCTTTCACCTGCGACACTCTGTGGCCCGCAAACAGATTCGCGGCCCTCAGCCGGCCCATGCGCTGCCGATGCTCTCGCCGCCCCACCTCAGAGTTCCAGGAAAAGGCTCAAAAAGAAGTCCACCGCTCAAAATAATATCAGCCTCCCGTCAATTTCCCCAAATAGTCCAAAGACAACCACGAGCTAGTTGGTCAATTTGGCGTTTGCAAGCGAACACTTTCAACAGACTCTGGGCCTCTCTAGAGAGCTACCCACCCTCCCTAAGCTTTAGGCATGCTTCCGCATTCGAGCTCTCTGTGCGGAAAAGACAATGAAAATCACACAACACGGAAACAACGAAGGCGGCTCAAGATACACACAACCCTGGAGATACTTCACTGCTCCGGGCCAGCAATTTCTGACTTCGACTGGTCCCCGGGCCCCAATGGGCCACAATCCGCAGACGCCCAAGGACGGCCGCACGTGCAAGCCGCTGCAAGCCTTGGGGCCTCGCGCTCGTGGCGCTGCGCCCTGGCGAAATGCGCGAGATGAATCACGGGAATCGTCCGCACGCTATCTCGCCAAGTCCTGATCAAAGACGCGTTCCCTTGGCCGTGCAACTCCCGTATAGTGACTCTAAGACTCCTTCTGAACTTCTTGAAACTCATCGCGTTCTTGGCTTGCATCTCGTAGCCGAGGCCGGAGTGAACACGCTTAGCTCGGGGGTCAGACAAGCCCGAGCTGGGTCCCCGCATCAAACTGGCCACCGGTGCAGCGCCATTGGGTGCAGGCAAAGCCCTGAAGAGGCAAGCGGACAGATCGGACCCAGAACAGCAATTGCCAGCCCGGTGCATCTGAAGGATCTGACTCATGCATTGTCGGGCTCAACTATCCAAAAACCACGAAATCCTGAGCCCAGGGCCCGTAAACTCCAGGAGGCGGTGCATAGCCCCAGCCTTTGCCTCCCCAACCTGGCTCTTGGCTGCGGAAGCTTCCCATCTTCAGTGACTCCGAATCGAAAACTGAAGCGATGAGGACAGCTGAAGAAGAACTCTTCCTGGGCCAGACCCTCTCAGCATCTTCGGCCCCGATATGCGAAGCGATGCAAACGAAGCGGCCTGGCGCCGGAGGTCCTCCCATCCTGGCAAGGCGCTTCTTCGAACATACCCAATCAAATTCAGCCAATGCACCATCAATCGTCGATGTGATTCGTGGCACAACTCCGGCAGTTGGGATTCTTGGGAAGCGACGGCTGCCGATGTGCTGAGACCACGCAAGCACTAGACTGCAAATGAACCTCGGAGGAGGCCCGTAGCTCGGTGGCGGAGGTGGCGGCCCGTTATACCTGCACTAACATGGATTGCACGTCTTCCTGATTTCTCCGTGCAAAAGGTCGCATGACCATGACCAGAAGCTTTAACCTTCGCAAGCAACGTCGGACATTTCGAAGCACCACTCATGTTTTGCTTGGCTACATGGCCTCGCCATACTTGACAACTGGGATCAATTCGTGGGCCGTGTGCCTGCTGCGAGGGCGGCTGCTCCAATCGCCAGGAGGGCCTTGGCAAACAACTTTGAAGCTTATTCAAAAGCCTAATCTTACACTGAGCCTTAACAGGCCCCACATAAACTCCAAGCCTGTATAGAGCTCAGCATGTCGAGGCATTTCCACATGCTTTGCTTGTTTGTTAACGACGGAACTGGCACATGCATCAGCTGGTATCCTGAGGTAGGATATCTTTGCTTTTGCGCATTCTGACGGATGCGTACCTCTCTTTCAGTCTGACGTGCCAAGCCGACGTCAACAAACCATGTCGGCTCTGCACTCAGGCGACTGGGCAAGATGTTCACACAAAGCATCACCGAATGTTAAAGGCACCAGGCACGATCTGAAAGGGCTTCAAAGAGCTTCACAGTTTCTCCTCGAGTTCCGGGCCGCCTTGGACCATGGCCCAAGAAGGAAGCGGAGCATCCTTTCCCGCTGGAGGTAAAGCTCTGAAGAGAAGGCCCGGCTTTCGCTCTCTCTCTCGCTGTAATTGTGTACACTAGCTAGCGTATCCTCCCGCCACCTCCCTCTACACCTCCAGGGAGTACGTAGCAAGCCTAGCTTTAGCTAACTGGCTTCACGCAGTAGCACGGACAACACGAACTTCTCTTTTTAGCGTTGTGGCGAA